GGGCAAGACGCGTATCTAAACTTCTAGAACTATTTTTCCGAAATCAGAATCCATTCTGAAATCTTACAATTCTAAACAATATTTGAAGAAGAAGAATCTTCTGGTTATCACAGCTATCAACAATGATTCAAGAAGACGGAACCAGTGAATTCTAAATTCTATTCAATATTGGTAGATTGGAGTTTAAAACCCTGTGCGATATCATTAATTCGAAGCTTATTTTTCCTGAATTGCAGGTATTATAATGAATTCTCATAAGAAGTCAACCTGAAATCTGATTGGAAGCCATGAAGACAAACTGAACTACGAATCTTTTGTTATAAAGCAAGTGCCTATTACCTCCCTTAATTTAAATGCTTCACTCTCAGATAGAGAAGAAGGCACTAAAAATTGTAGTCTGAATGATAATCTTAAAGTACCTAGAAAAAATCTGATGTCTATTGCACCGGTTGTAGGCTTAGGATTATCAAAGTTTGAGTTAAGCTACTTTGATGGACAACCTAGTGGATACTGGAAATCTATTCGTCAGTTTGGAACTTACGTCGAATCTCGAGTTGATGACGATAGCTTGAGTTTACTCTATCTGATTCACTACTGCCAAGGTAAGGCTAGAACAGACATCGAAGGTTGCATGATGTTAGAAGCGTCGATGGGATATAAAATGGCTAAAGAAATTCTAAAAAGACTATTTGGGCAATCTGACGTTATAGCTAGGGAAACGTTGGAGGAGCTGTTTCATCCTGGGAATGTTGATTATAATGACGCCGAACAGCTATCGAATGGCGAATTGCGCCATGGTGCTGAAGCAAACGAACTGCATCACTAATTTGAATTCCTTAGCAACTTTGTTCTTGAATCTGGAGCATTTGTAGGATAATTTGCAAAGTCGTTATTGTATATAAATATTACAGTTTTCTTTTGGGCTCATCGCTGATCTGCCGTAGACTGAAATGTGATTAGTGTTTTAGAAAGTTTAAATGTCGCACTTTACTTTTCCAAACCCTAGCAATTTTTCCTCAACACACTTGAAAGGCGAGCATCCTTGTTTTATTACTGGCTGGCCATTGAGTATTACTTGCTGATAATTGGATGGAACAGGAAACAATAGCGGTAGTAAGTGAGTAAATGTCGTGCGATCTGAAATCCGTGTATTTGATTGTTTTGTCGTATCTTCATTCAAAAGACTGTTCTACTTTCTGGTAATTTTTGAATGCTGAAACCTCACGATGGCTTTTTCCCATCTTGTAGATGCAAAGGTTGCAACTTACATTATCATCTTCAACTATACTTTGAAACTGTTCTTACATAAACAGTTTGTACTCTTTGTTACAAGTGGTTTAATAAAGTGAGTTGATATGACTCAGTTATAAGCTAGAAACCAAAGCAAAATAATCTACAAGACAACTCTGAGTGGAGCCTTACTACAGCTACTGCTGGTTACAAGCCTGGGTTTAAGGGGTGTTTGGTGTGCAGTTATTGACTTCCTCCTAAATAGAAAAAGTACTAAAGAAAAGTTATCCGAACTATTCAGAATCTTCCCTCGGAGTTTGAGAGTCCTCATATAAAACAATTATGGCGCCTCACGGTGAAAGCCAAGATTTTTTGGAATTTACGAGGCCGATATACCTCCTGATAACTTGGGAGACAACTAATACATGTACAAGGAATATCCAGACGTTGAGAGAAACTGAAAGGACCGTTCGAATAATTGCAGAAATGAAAAGATACAACATGAACCTGCTTTGAATAAGTGAAATTTATTAAACATAAACTGAAAAGAAACAGTTAGCTTCAGTAGAGTGATTTCTGTATCCTAGATACAGAAAAGGAAATACCCCACAAACACAGAGGTTGCTCTGGTCATGTTAGAATGAACATTAAGGATGTCTATAGGATGGTCCTAAAATCATCGTTCAAACAACAGAGAGTATTAAAAATTTTGTACAGTTTCATGCTAATGTTGTGGTATACTTTTACGGAGATAACAGAATTGCTGAAATTTAAACATTTATTATTGTACTTAATTTTGACAATAATTGTCATTTTGTACTCCTTTTGTTTATCTGTACTTATCTGTACTAAAGACCATCTCTCGCGCGCCAAGCGTGTTATTCCTATTCCGCTCCTCTCCTTGGTGGTTGTTAGCCGCTGCTGTACTCTAGTTCTTCTTCCAGAATATACTTCTTCATCCAGAATAGTCTTTTCTTTGACTTATGGATTATCAGGATTTACGTTAGTAATCCCGCGAAGGTGTATATTTATTTTAACTAACTAAACTTCCATCAAGCATGAAATTGTAGACAATGGAGACCAACTTTATAAAAAGCCATAGTTTACTTCAGATAGATGTACAGGGAAAAAATCTGTATCTTGATAAGGAGCCTAAAAGCCAGAGTCGGAATGGACAACATGGGATATGAACTAATTATGCGGTGATGCAGACTGGAGGGAAGGAAGGAAAGAAGGAGAATGATAAGAGACTGAAAAATCCATATTTCTTCAATAACGTAGTTATGAGTGATCAGATTTTCCAACATTAATTCATACACAAAACGTTATGGGTTTCATCGGATCACACTGGAGAACACCATATCGATCACATATACACGGATGAGTGATTCACTGGGTGCATACAAGGAGTAAGAACCCAAAAAGAAGCCGATGTGGCTACATATAACCAACTGGGGCTAAAGAAGCACAGGAAAACCGGGCGAACAGCGTTACGAAAAAGTAACACAATATTTCTTCGGAATGCTCAAAAAATCAGCGAATTCAAGATATCTCTCATTAATGAAAGCAGAAGAGGAAATTAGCGTGGTGAACACCCGAAAGGGATTAAGGAAGGTATAACTTTAACATGTTAGAGAGCGAAAAGTGTCATTAAGCGCTAGCATACGTGGTGAGTCTCTGTTGATACTGCGGAAGAGATTCAAGATAGTAAAAACAAGAATTGAGCAGTCAACGGCAGCCGAACAAGAGTAGTGAAGGCCAGGGACTAGTTCGAATACACAGGGGCAGGCGAGAAAGTGAAGAGGATCAGCAGAGGTAGCAACTGGAGATAGGTAGAAGATATAAAGACTACGGTGGAGTAGGTAGTACGGGGTAAACGTGAAAGAATCTTGTGATGTAGCCAGAAATGTAGCAGGAAAATAGGGTAAAGGAGAGCGACCAGTTAGAATGAGAGCAGGAAATCTAATCAGTCAGGGAGGATGAAGAGCATTGGATGAGGTGCGAATAACACTTTGAAGAGGTGTTGAATAGACAAATGTTACTGAACTTATTGAGTATCAAAGCAACACATAAATCGTCCGATAGATGTTACCTAACAAAAATTCGTAGAAATCAACATGGTCAGCCTACCAGCCTAAGCACTAGTGTCAGACAGGGGAGGGGTGGGTGAGTACTGCTGATGAATCCCATACTAGGACGATAAGGCCTTTCAATTCCCTCAGGTTTCTAAGAATAAGGTGAGCAACATGTATGCAGTTCGACGATTTGAACTTCCTAATTGACATGGCCTTTCTGTCCCATACACATCAATAGATGCAGACAAACACAACCGGCGTGAAGGTGGTCTCAGCACCGGTAAGCCTCAACATTCATTCAGGAAAAAGGGAAATTCTACTATATAACAGAGCGGGAAGTTACAGAATCACACCTGGTGGAGAAGGTCCATGGGAGATGGATACCCTAATATATTTGGCAAGAAAGGATAATCCGATGAAGATTTGAGTGAACGGATCGTCAAAGCAAGGGCAGAATTTGTGGAACTGAAGAACATCTGGAACTGAAAACATTTATTGACAAACACCAAAGTTAGGATTTTCAGTACAAAGGTCAAGAAAGTTCTGTTGTACGGGGAAGGGACTTAAATAAATGCACTTATTGTAATAGAAAAGACTGTTATTCATAATCAGCTGCTACAAAAGATATTGCGGACCTACTGATAAGATACCATGAACAATAATTAATTCTAACAGAACAAGCCACGTGCAAGCTGACCGAGAAATTAAGAAAAAAAGCTGGAAGTGAACGGGATATACTTTACAGAAACCATCCGAATGCATCCCATGGCAGGTCCCAATCTAAAGCCTTCAAAAGGAAAGGATAAGAGGCAGGCTGAAGAGCATATAGTGCTGGGAGTTGGAGGGAGAAATCGAAAGTATGGATAGCATTTAGAAACAAATAGGATAAAGAGTATAGGAGAGAGTAGCGATCCAAGATCAGAGGCATTTGCCACAATAGAGGTAACAGGCTTCAGTAGATAATCCTCAGAATCTTCATTCATAAAAATAGTTTCTTTAATAGTGAGAGGCATTTAAGGAGGAGGGTATTATTTCACTATCTCTAGAAGTTTACTATTGTATCGCAAAACAAACTGATACAGGTCAGGTTCTCTGAATAACTACATAAACTTTCCAACACGTAGACGAATAAGTACTCAATTATTCGGTTACAACTGTTAAGCAGAGAGAGTGGTTGTCCGTGCACAAAACCTGAACCTGACCTCGGATTATCTATTGAGGATCATCTTTCGATGTATAGTACGAACGGCAGCCTAATTCTGGATATTGCTAGTCTTCGATAGTCGCTATTGAGGTACCTCTTATTAGGCTACCTCTTTAATTCATGTACGGAACTAGCTGGATAATATTAAAATTAAGTAACGATCAGATGGATTCGTGAAAGATTACTACTTTTTTAGAACCCACTACCTACATGAGACCATGTGCTAGCCTAGTTCAAGCTTCAACAATCAATAAAATCATCTTTCTTAATAGATAAATACGGGCACATCTGTTCTTAATGAAGTTGCTACCAGTAAAGAAGTTTATACATTTTCTAATTTAACTGGTAATGCACCAAAAATATACCAATGACTATAAGTCTTTGAAGTCATTAGAATTGATATTGATAGGTCCTGGTTGGTTATTTCTTCTGATAAGTTTAGTCTTTTTGTATCTACTGAAAAAAGTTTTCAACAAAAAAATATAAACTATGTTCCATTCCAGTAAGTTGTAGCTTTTTTTAAAGATTTAAAATATTTACCATAAAATAACTACAAACTTCTTTTACAATACGTTGATTGAATGATGCAAGTGGGTATACGAATTGATAATCGTGTTTATTTATTCATTTAGAAAATCGTACTCTCTTTTATTTCTCAATGTTATTTCAAGCATTTCTTTGTCTTCATTCCAAGCTGCTTTACTTGAATCTGGTTCAACTGGATTTGGTAAATACAATCCAAGTTTACTAAAATAAATAAAAGGAATAAATGAATAAAGTAAAATGTTGTAATCAAGAGTCAGATAAGAAAATTGAACTTTGAAAAGATCATAATTGTTACAATACTTTATGGAGTTGAAATAAGACTTAGTCTGTAATCTTGGTATTATTTGCTCATGGTTTAATACAAAACTAATAATTTGAATCATAGTTGAATGAAATATTTAAATAATTCATTGTGATGAAAAGGCTCGATTAAAATTTCTTTATTTACCCTCCACCGTCGGCCATGTTTCTGCATTTTAATGGATGTTACCAATTTAAATTAAGTTTCATTGATTAAAAATGATGTTATAAATTCACTGCACCGATTTGTGCGTACCGATTTTTGGTGATATACAAATGAGTAAAAATTTATATATCTGACATTTCGTGATTGAATTAAAGTCATTTTTATCGGAGTAAATAAATATTTTTTACACTGATTTTACTTATTCTGAAGAATTGACTTGCATTAAGTCAGTAAATGTCAGAAATATAAATTTCTACTTACTCAGATATCATCAATAAATGTTGATTATTTCATGATTAATAACTTTCCACCTAATGCTCAATTTATTTGAAAAAATAAATAGGACAAGAGCTCATACTGGTAGGGGTGAGAATCTAATATAATTATTAGACAACAGTTAAATAACTGAACAACGCTTTAACGTTAATCAACAATGTAGCATAAATTTTGGTATCATATAGAAAACAGGCTGATGAACTATACCAATGTTGAAATATTATTTACATAAACAATTCTTGTCATGGGTGCACAATGCTTAGGGGTTCCGCTATACAGTGTTTCCTGACTTTCACAAGTTACTTAACTTAGTTTAGTTCGTGACTACACTAACAAGCTGTTAGACTGAATGCTATCAGTTGAAAACAATAGTAAATGAATTGTGAAGTGAGTAGAAGAAAAAGTTGCTCAGCTAGCTAGCAAAACTGACCACGCAAGTGTAAGAACCAAGTACAGAAAGTTACTATTGAGTGGGAGGTGGAAAGGGAACTATTTGGATTGGGATTCATGTCAACAAACTTAACTCGTTCGTTCACAAGAAGCTTGTACAGGCTCTTCGCTCACTCATTCTCTCCGCTTATTTAATGAAATGGCTATTTTTTAAGTGCACTGATGAAGTCATTTTCACTATCCAATAGAATAATTAACTATTCACTTAGTCTTATTACTAATTTATTAAATAAATAATGGTAGATTCAGCGTGCTGGATGTGTATTATATAAGCCATTTAGTCTCAAAGAGACAAAAAGTATGATATTCAACTTAATAAGAATGAAGTAGTAAAATGAATAATTATTAAAACGAAAAAATTAATACTTTAACATTGTGTTAAGTCATCCAGAATGAAATAAAATAATAGACGAATTTTAAATAGAGTACAAAGTTCATGTTTAACAAATTCTTCATTATTTTAATAACTTATGAACTTACTACTTAGGTGCTCTTAGATCAAGAAATGTTTCTTTGACATCTAGATTAATATCAGATAATCGTGTATCAGGAAGTATCACTTTGACCTATGAGATGAAAAAAATTCAAGTGTACATATATGGAATCGGGTTAATGAAAGATAAGAATGTATTTAAAATGATTTACAGTAATAAAAATATCATATTTAGATTCCTTTCTTACTCTAAGCTAGTGGGTGAATGTCATTTACAAAGTGAAATTGAACAAACACAAAAATGGACAAAGTAGTCATTTGTTTTGCCTACGTTTGCGCAGAAATTAGTTAAATTTCAAGTATCACTAATTACTTTAGCTGATAGAAACGCGCACATCCAACTGCATATATTGATTTAAATTTGAAAATGACAAAATCCTAGGAGCAAAACGAACAATACAATAGAACTTTTATAAGACAAACATTCAGGTCACTCAGGGATGAAGTCATTCAAACTACGTGAAGTTCTTGCTGCTAGTGTTCGAGAAAGACAACGAAAGCGTAGTGACCGGTCTGTCTACCTTAAAGAATATAACACTTAAAACTACTGACTAAAGCTGAGAATATTGAATGTTCGCTGTAAAAGTATGTAAATAAATTTCAAGATAAAGTTTCACTAAATTTTTAAACTGAAAAATGTGATTGAAGAATGAATCAGAAGAATTCGAACTTATTATATATAATATAGAATATAGTAATACTTCAAAATTTCAGCTTTTTTCTACCCTCAGTACTGACTAACATCTTCTGTTAGACTTGTTGATTAATGAAAATTCCTCGTATTTTAGGTAAATGTATAGGCATGATAAATGATGTGCTCTTTCACATCCTTTGACGTCTGCACTCACTGGCACCAAAAAAAAGAGTTCCAATCAAATTAGTTTTATTACTGGAACTTAGTACTTTGGACGTGAAATACCTCATTCTGATTCTTTACACATATCTGAACAAACCAATTAGTTTTATGACTGATTTTATGATCTATAATGATATAATAGCGAACGATTAATGAACTCTATCATTTTGTGATGTAGTTATCCCTAGAATTCCGAGTAGACTATTTACTCAGCTAAATTGACTGAATTCATGGCTTTATAAACAGGACAATAATACAGATGTATTCATCCTACGTATCAGTCTAACCCTTTGTTCTAGTATTCACTAGCTATCGGTATTAGATTTTTGTCTATCTGATGTCAAACTTTCCCCTACTTTTGTTATTATTACTATCATTCTTATGACTACTGTTTCTAACACATCAATCTTCTACTTGTTAGTTTTTTCTTTATTTTTCTTTGATGAGAAGTGTAGCAATCTAAACAAAAACAATATTTATGCAAGATATTAAACTATTTAGATCTTCCTATTTGTCTCTTAATTCATGATTCGAACCATTTTCTTAAAATACAGATGAACACAATTTCTTCGTAGAAGATAAATAAATCTTTCATTTCAATCATAGATGTGGAGAATTTAAACTAAAGTTTAATTTTGCTTACAACCATGTATTCACAGCAAGCTGTTGTTGGATTTTTTCTTCCAAGTTGTAAATAGACATCTTCTGCCGTTACTGCTTGCCGATATACTATTTCATATCTGTGTATGAAGTAAACAAAAAAGAAAGATACAGGCAAACAGGAAAGTGCTTTAAGAAAAAAAACTAGTCAAAATTTAAACGAATAGTTTGGCAGAAATTAGACACCGTGTATGTTGAAGATATCATATGTAAAAAAAGTGTATCTTGAAAAAAATAAATCAAGTTATTCTAATAACAGTAAGCTAATAAAATGTACTTCAGTCTGTTAGGATATTCATCCAATATCTTAAGAGAATTATTGGTCAATTCCTACTGGTTAATTTTATGGTCGTCCTAGATATCAATGTAACGTACTCCAATGTTGTTTCTTATTGGTCGTCTTAACTGTCAATGTCACCAACTTCGATACTCTTTCCTGTTCGACCTAAATGTATAAATACGCAGTATCTGTAAAGCTTTGTATTCCGTTCCTTCCTGCCTTCGTCTCTACTGTACTCGACCCATTAAACAACTTCATCTAACGGCGTTGTGTTCTGATATATAGGAGATTGGGAATATTAGTTGGGCCCTATTGGAATATTTGAATTCGGACGTCGGTAGGATTTGAATAGCTACGTAGCAGCATTATAACACAGTCAAAAAGGGTTTTTTTAGTGATTCAAATGTGATGCTTTTGGATTCTGATTCAAATAATTAAATATACAACAAAAATTTTTCATATTCATTTTAATTTGATTGATTCCGGTTCAATGAATAATTACTGAATAATAATCGTTATCTTATTCTGATGTTTTCGATAATGACTTGATGACAAGGTTACATTTATCTGACGGCATATAAATGTATAAGAAGCCAGAACTTAAGGTTAATGCATGGTGGAATTTACCGCCAAGTTGTAATTGATACTTTTGTGGTGTGAGCTACTTATAAGTAGTATATGATGCGAGTGTCAACGTAATGTCTGGCAGCGGAAGATGGGGAGAGATCAAGAAAGGAAGAGTTAGAAAACAATGGAATTCGTATGAAACGCATGAATAGTGACAATGGATTGATGTTTTGCAACAGGAACAGTCCAGTTCGATAGGATGGACTGATAATTTGCAAATGAACGATTTACGATATGGTTTTCCAATTTTAGTCAGTAACTCCGTAATTCTTGCTAAATACAATTCGGTTGCCCCACCTGTGTTCTCGTTCACTACACTTTCAGTAAATTAGCCAATTTTACCATGTTTTTCATTTCCTTTTAATTGGAATTATATGCGATTAATTGTGCTGCTGTGTTGAGTGGTTCATTCAGGCAAAGAGTCTCTAATTCATATTCATTTATCAGATATAACACTAAGCACTCAGTAAATTTCACAATTGTAATAGCCATTCGTATTAATCCTTAAAACCACTGATATTGTCTATCACCTAGTAAACTCAAAAATATGCTGGATTCTAGTATAAAATAGATAGGATTTTTACCTACTTGGGCTGGGGGCGCGGATCATATATATCTTCATGCTGTGTACCTTCTGGTATTTCATCAATATCCCATATATCATCAGGATTCTTTTGTTTTACCTTAGGTTTTTCTTTCTTCGCTAATAAATTCGATAAATAAGATTGTCAGGGGTAAATTCAGACAAACCTTCAGATTGACACTTGGGACCAATATCACCTGGTTTTAGTTTAGACATTGGAGTTGTTACCTGACATAGAAAGAAAATGTGTAATGTTTGCCATCAATGTGTATAGTTGTAGAGTGAGAGAGAGGGAGAAGGTGGAGATAATGATTAATGCTTATGGTATATAACGTACTACTTTATTCATGATATTGGTTGACTTTATTACCAATGATTTCAGTAACGAAGTAATTGTTAGGTATTTTTTCATCTACAGGTTACTTATTTATCTTCCGAAAACAAAAGTCGTGCGGCTGCTTTCGGGTTTTTGTGAAAGATACTTTGAGGATTGGTCGATATCAGTAGTGTGATAGGACACACCGTACCAGGTAAAGTGGGCAGTCCAATTGATAAGGCTGTAAACTTTGGTCTGCTGAGGTTATTAAGGTATTCGTTACATAGCCCTAGCCATCATCTAAACTGATATGCAATGTTGTCAGAGGAGTAAGTTAGAAAAATGTTAAGAGTGGGCCAAACCAAGATATAGTGTCAGTCCATGAAGTTCTACATTATTGGTCTGGGCCAACTGAGCAAGTGAGGAATGTCCGTCAATTGATTTAATTTATGGCAAGATGCATTAGATGAAATGAGAGGGATCGATCACAGACCAGTAGGTTCATTCGTTTTGTAGCCCTTTTCAAATGATGAGTCTTACCTTTTATAACGCTTTATTTTTTATTTCATTTATACTAAGTATCTAATGTTTAAACTTCGATTGTATTTGATGATATTTTCATTTCATTTACAATTTATCTCGTTAAGTTCTTTTGTTCTTTTGGCGGATGTGAGTTATCGAAACTTGAATCAAGACGAATTCATATTTCATTGGCTGATCAATGAATCCAATCCCCTGTTGAGTGCGATTGATGTTGGGACTGCTACACTGTCCGAGTGCCCAAAGAGAGGCAGGTAGTTTTCTTAGATGACTCATCAACAGCTCATTTGACCTACAGGTCTAATCCATAATACACTATGGTACAGGTCCATATAATGTTCCGTGGATAAAGTAAGTTCATTCTCACCAATATGAAACATGGTTTGAATGAATTATCATCACATTATTAATAAGTAAAGACAGGAAAACACGATTCATTCATCGATTTTTGTTAGCTCAAGTAACTACATGGTTACTTTTCCAGTTATGCATTTAGATTACTATCTATATAAGGAAACATGAATCGTATAATTTTAGATTCATAGTTCAATTAATTCATCAGATTAAAACAAAAAAAATTTCTAACATACGTCATCCTGATCACTGTTCTCTTCTGCTTCGTGATCCTTAAGTAAATTTTGCAATGAAAGTATGTTTTCTCGAGTCCATAGAGCTTCCATTTCGCCTACTTCACAATCAACAAATGTACATATGAGTTTATTATTGATAAAAAAAATAATCAATATGGTAGTTATACCACACTAAATAAGGGCATTATTAGTTAAGTATCACTTACATTGGTGACTAATTTGTGTTCGTTTGATATAAAAGTTTTAAACAACAACATTGGAAGAAGGTTTACTTCAGAAAATCAAACAGGCTGAGTTACTGTAATATAATTCAACGAAGTAATTATAATTACCATTTGCGTTGTATCACATTTATGTTCCAACCATTGAGTTTGATACCTGAAAATTTAGTTATTCTTCTAACGATTATTTGATGTTGAAATTCTCGAAAACTCTAAAGTTTGCTGACGGTAATATAAAACGTCACTCACTAAGCAAAGACTCCAACACAGGATTCATAAAATGAGGCACCTTTCCGATAAATCATCTCAGATGCTGAAACACTAAACAGTATTTTTCTATCCATGTACTAACTATTCTTAATAAGATGGCAGTCGGTTTATAAAATCGTATATCATACAGTGTTTAGTCAGATACAGAAAAAGTTCTTTAAATCCTAGCCAATCTTTAATACATTGTGCATAAAATAACCTTTCAGTCTATTTCTATTATGTTTAGAATTGATACATAAATACGTTAATAGAGCGGTTGAACGTTTCCTCATTATACAAATAAAATTCAAACAAAACGAAACATTTAAAGAATATAGAAAAATGAATCAGAATTTTATATTATTTTATTCAAAATAAAACGAAATGTTATGCTAAAATATATTGTGCTTTCCATCGTCATGAAAGTTGTTACAAATGTCCAATATTCAATTAAGCGTTGGTGATTTCAGCAATTCATTAAAAGGTTGATCCGATAAGCCATTTGACTTTATTGATTTATTTTGACTCCATAAACTTAATCTCTGAGTTGACAAGACATCATTCACATCGAATTGTGAGTGAATTTTCGTCAATTCTTGCGGAAGCACTTCCATGCGAAGTGTAGTACGATCTACCATTCCAGCTGCCAACAGTGTTGAGGAAAGATCAACTAATTTTCGACGATAACACGGTTTATTTTCAATAGTACTTTGTGAATCCATAGCTACAAGGCGATAATGTCTACTAGTTTTTGAGAGAATTGTCGATCTAGCATGATCTAACGCTGCATATAATTCTCCTACTGTATCTTCTGGATGCATTTCAATATTATAAACTTGTGAACCATCTTCTGAATGAATTCTTAATGTTATAAGTTCTGACTTTGATCGGTTCTTGTCTGTTGAGTTATTTTTAGATATGTTATATGTTTTAATTATTCTAGATGACGGAATATTAATATGTCCATTAAATTCATCTTTCATGTCTTTTCGAATATTTGACAACTGATCAGATTTTGCTAATTTGTACTCTGGCAAGCATTTTATCAAATCATCAAAAGTTAACGATTTATCTTGTCTAATAGTATTTGTTGCATTTGAAATTAGTTCATTATATAAAGCATCACATCCAACATTGGTTTGATTTTTGACTCTAAAACGAAACATGTAAATTATTTAAAAACTGAGTTACAAAACAGTTTAATTTGCTGATATGTAGCAATGGCGAAACTATATATTTATATATGTCTTTATAAACCGACTGCAATTTTAATTTGTCGGAAAATATTTCGGTTTCCAAAAAAGACTATGATTGATTTCGATTACCACCTTACTTTGAATAAGGCCTCCACAGTCTTGAGACGAGAACGTTTTGAAAACTTTGACTCATTTCGTTTGCTATTCATTTGCTGATAAAAGATGCATATCAGCTGGTTCAACTGTTTGACTAACTTATTTTGATTAACTAAACAGCACCTCTAACCGTTACACAACAAATAAGGTTTACAGTGTGATACTCAACCACACTGTTGACTGTTGAATCGCATTCACTAATCTTCAGTTGATATAATGCTCAGCGGTGTGAGAAAATATAATTTTGACTTTAAATCTTACTGTAACAATAAGTTCGTGCTAACCATCTTCTAACAATGCTTTACAAGCTGGAATGTTTGAATATATGAGTAGTACAATGTAATTTGCTTGTCATTTTTGTTTTATTATGATATACCAGTTTAATTCAAACTATGAGTAACGAGCAGGTCATTTACATAAAAAAATAATTTTTAGACTAAGAAATATCGAGTTATCTGAATTATTCCTTACTGCTCAACATAGAATTCTTCAGTTTTATTATTCTTTGATAATTGTTTCTCATTGACGGAGGAAATTTCCTGATTTACACCTTGTTCACTTGTGACTGAATTTCCCAATTTATAACCATCAGATGAGAATGGTGTTGCTTTTTTCAATGACATAAAATGAGTTGTGTGTTTATCGATCAGTTTAAATTGAACCCCATATGGATAAGTGGATTGTAATTCTGATGGAAAATAACCGTCCAGTATATCCTATAAAAAAACAGCGGAACATGATATTTTTAAATTCACTTTAAAAATCGTATAATCTGAAGGAAATTTTCATCGTAAAAGGATGCAAAAAAGTTAAAGTTATTTTCTAAACATCATGTTTGATAATGTTCATCCACAAGGCTTCCCGCTTGGCCAAAATTTGAGCTATGCTACGAACTGACTACAGTTATTATTGAGGATTTGTATATTGTAACCCAATACTCTCCGAAGACATTATGTGCAAAAATAGTGTTATGAACTGCGCCACAGCCTATAGAATGACACTGTTAGTGATTTAAAGGCCAGAACAAAGCGGATGCTCAGTACTCTGTGTCTTTAATAATGACCTATTCAATAATGAACTATGGACGAAAACTATTTTTTTTATTTTAGCCAATGATTAGACAGATTCTATTAAATGTTATGGATAACCGGTAACTGGTCAAGTTATGGAAAAGTTTAATCAACACAGCTTAATCAAACTATCATCATACATACTCCCTTCTGTTTTTACTTGTTAAAGAAACATTCTTTACTTGGTGTCCACTTTCAAAGTTATTCCTATCATTCACAGCATTCTTTTTGTGGACATCTGATGGTAAAGGGTACTGAATAATGAGTTAGCTTCGAGAGATTTAAACCAGATTCTAATATCCACAATTCATAAAATGGTCATAAATTATTTGATTAATCTTAGTATGAAGTGTTTATGAGTATGTATGTCTCCAAATTAAAATAAAATATACAGGAAAAAGCATTACATGAGGAAGTGATTAATAATAAGCATAAAAGTAAGTTACCCATTTAGGACCTATCTTCCTGGTATCTTTTCAAGTTTATAGGGCTATAAGTTATTTTGGGCGTAAATTAACCAGCAACTTATTCCGGGTTCTTTTATATTTATGAATAATTGACAATTTTTAAGTCCCAGCTGTTTAGGAGCTTTTGGCCACTAAATGAAGTACATCAGATAGTCAATAGAAACTTACGGAAAGTAAAACATCGTTTATCTTAAGTTTATTACCTCTTAATGCTGTAAATCTTTAATAATTTCCAATTCCAATTAATGGTTTACTGTTTTTTAGATGCACTGATATCTGGAAAAAGCCAACTCTCAAGCGGAACAAGAATGCTAGCCGAGGATATCGAAGAATAACTAGTTAGTACTATTTATTAAAATAAGTAGAAGAATCACGGTCGTTTCATTGAACTTGGATAGTTTAATACATTTGTGTTCTAGGGAAAGAAGTTAGATGTGATGTTGATGTATAAACAGAACCAGAAATATTTGCTATCAGAAGTCTTAAACTTGGGGAGACCAACTGTTCTGCGACTAGTTGTAACTTTCTATTCAGATTAACTTCATGAAAAAATCCAGTCTGTTTCTACCAATCATGCATAAATATGTCATCGGATAAAAGAGTTCGTGGGTCATAATTGTATCCTCATTACTGCAAACTACATACTGGTTATTTGACTATAGCTTACATTAATACTATGTGTAATGAATAATTTGTGTATATATCAAAGCATCGAATTTTTGAAAATATATAGTATGTTTACAAGTAGCTTTATTTCTTGAGATACAGTTGGCAGGAATTGCCAACTCATCAGCTTCGCCATCTCAGTCAATCTGTCATTTTTTGAATTAATTATGTCATCGTAACATATATGAAACAACAGTTATAAATAAATTAATTATACCAGAAAGTTTTAAATTAGAATTACTTGAACAAATTGAAGAGTATCATGATTATTGTAGGAACGAAATGGCCCAGAGCCAAGGTACAGTCCATCTGCATATACAGTTAGTGGAATCGGTGACTGATTTCTGAGACAAGCTACATTAGGCGAATTTGGTTTTAATATAACTTTTCTCTCATCATTGGTATCGTTATTCCAACTATTCAACACGTAAATTTGTTGAACTAAGCACCTTAGAATCGTTTCATCGAGTTCTTGATATTGATAAAGAAATAGCAACATTAATATTATCAGGTTTATGAACAAAACCAGACCCTACTTATCCCATTGTCATTTCTCGGGCTGGTTTCGTGGTCAGTAGATTGTCCTCCTACCCATATGAGACCATGGTCATGAAGAAACTCCTTCATTTCCAAAATCTACGAATCGAAATAATATATACATTTATTCATTGCATTGCTTGCTTGTTTCTGCAGCTCTTCACAATACTTCTGCAACCTTTCAATTTGTTGTGAATCCGTTGTTTCATTATTATATTCCGTTACTTTAAGCTTGTTTTCCAGTAGTTTGATCTGTAAAGCTTGTTTTTCAATTACCGACTTCTATAAAAAATATTTGAGTAGATTTCCAGGTTGTGAATACAATCAAATACATGCTCAGTCGAAAGTTAAAATATAAGGTCTCACAAAACGTTTTTACTTTCAATAAATTAAGGTTAGCTCATTCTGGCTTTTCTAGACATCGATTGAAATTACAACAATCAAAAGCACAAAATCGAAGGAACTATATACATATATATTACTTTAGCGGTTGATTTGTCTAATACAAGGTTATTTAGCTTAAATGAACAACACGGATGGCTAGACGGAATAGCACATCTACAAGCTCTCTTAGTAATGCGCTGTCACATAGATGGGGATTTCATTATATTAAGGAACAATAAATTCTCTGTTCTGATATCTTGAAGAAACTAAAGTAGCATCTAGGGAAATCCTAAAACGTTTTACTGTTGCTTAGGAAATTCAGGATTTTTCGGTGTAATCAAGACGTCACTAGGTTTTACTTTGGTCTGAAGAATAGCTATATATATTTATGGATGATAAATCAGAACTAATAACGATGAACAAAGCTATAAGTAATAAAAACAAAATTAATAAATACCTTAAACAAGAAGAAGATTATGAAAGCAGTGGTTAGTGGAGATGCATAACTTTATGGGGATCTATAAAAACCTCACTGTATTGTTGGATGTCTGTATAAACTACCAAGAACTGTTGAATTAGTTTACCACATGGTGGTAGACGAAGTTAAAATATTAAAAAACATGCACAGTGATGGTGCAACGGCAAAAGCACAGATGAATTAGGATAACCTAGCTAGGTCCACTGATTAAGTTAAGTTGGAAACAAGATTAAACAAGGGTCATATGACACAATGCGGTGATGACCTTTGTCAAAATGAACCAGAAAACTTCGGCCACACGTACCTCTGCTGGTTATAGGTAGCCTCATTTGTAGGTAAGATCACTGATCCATGAAGCTGACGAACGGAATATGTGGCAATAGTCAAAAACTCTAAAACCTATTAAAATGACTCAATATACTGCTGGACGAATATAATGTAAAATAAACATGATATATATACTTAAATTCTTGAGTCTCACATAGCTAATATTCTCTTTCATCAGGGTCTCATTTTTATTCATAATTGAAGAAAGTAGTGTTGAATCGCAGGGTAAGGCTGAGAACGGCTGGCTTGGAACATTCTCAAGTTTGAGTCGACTTTCATCATCATCCATTGGCCTTAGGAAAGCAGTGGATCTTTAATGAAAATTTTTGAAGTAAGTTGATCGCAAATACTTTCAATAGGATATAGAAAATCAGCAGGCAGTAATCTGTTCATAACAATGAATATAATGCCGTTTTATTCTCATCAGCGCGGAACTTCGTCTCGGGCTCGCGACCTAGACGCACCATTGTCATGACATTTCCAATATCCAATATCTAACATCTTTTTCACGAGCTAGCATAAAACATCTGATTTCTTTGGCCCGATTCTTGTGCTTTCGGTAGGGTCCCAGGTGTCTGGTAGTGCCCAACGAATGGAGGTTTAGTCTCTCGGCTGTTTAATTCTAGTCAGTTGGCAGTTGGTTGTGAGTTTGTATGTCTCGAGATTTGAATGGCTATGTTTGTTTCAGAGGTTTCTGGATACCAGTAGCTATCATATTATCAGGCTGGAGACCAGTTAGTTGCACTGTGGAGGATATTAAGGAGAAAACTCTAATGCTGATGAGATTTCAGAACTAAGTAAATAAATAGATAATTCAGTTTGTTAATTGGTAGTGAAGATTGTGAGAGAGGACTGAAGTATAAGGAAATGAGAGGAGAAAGAGATGGTAAACGAGATAGATTAGGTTAGTGATCTGAGGAGATGACAATTATAACAACTAGCAAGTCTCGAGATATGCATCATGCACATCTTGTCCAAGATAGAGATGATAATCCGAATGTGAATACGTGATTATCAAGTCTCTTCCTAAAGCTGTACACTGAGGGGGCTGTAGTCACCCCGGCTGGGAAAGCATTCCAAGTCGCGTCGACTTTCAATCAGAAGTGTGCACGAACCTGAGTGTTCACTTTTTGGTGCTTAATTTCTCGACGATTGCCTCGAGGGGAGTGGTGGTGATGCATCGATAAGATGCTCATGTTGGGATGGTTTTGCGTGCTTAAAATGTTGTACGTCATGACCAGATCACCTCTGATTCTCCTGTAGCTCAGTGAAAATAATCCTAAGTGCTGAAGTATATCTTTGTAAGGCCTATTTTTCAACCCTATCACCTATTTGGTTGCCCGTCTCTGCACTCGATCCAAGAGATTTATATCTCTTTTAAGTAGAGCGGTGCGGTGACATTGCGAACCTCCAGGTGTGTGCGCGCGTATGTCTTAAATAATGTTAAGAATAATTGTGGGGTGATAGCACCAAATTTCTTCCACATAATGTTTAACAGTCGCATCAGTCCTACCTGCGTCCCCTACATAGTTCTAAGCGGTGTCGAGAATTTCAGTGACTCTTAAACTGAGATTGCGCTCTGAGGAGATATTAGGGGGCGGACTTCCACTGAGGGTGTAAGTAGTTTGTGTCACGTGGTGCGGAATATATGTAACGCGACATTTCGACTGGTTTAATTTAGAACCGTTTTTCACTGCAAATTACTCAGCAGATGTAAGGCTCTTTTGACGCTAAGTTGAATCCTCTTCGCTTCTAATGTACCTCAAGATCTTCGTATGGTCTGCGTAGATCAACACCGCGAAACTTACTTTGTCTAACAGATCGTTAACATCAGGAAAAGAAGTGTACCCAAGATGGTTCCGAATACAAGCCAATTAACTAGTGGAAATGTGCTCTGTATGTAGAGTTTTGATCTTAAACGATATAAAAACATGGAAATTTGTTCTACGTCCGGAAACCGCATAAGGATGACTCTTTCGCTTGTCATTACCAGCCAAAATCAATGAATGTGCTTCTGAATGCGACTTCTGTAGTACATGGGTACACTGTCACTGCGACACTACGGTACCTAACGAGTACTACGGGTTCATGCTGAGTCCACCTTGCCCATGGTTCGGTTGTATACTTGTTCCCGATGTATGTAGAGTATCTGAGGCATTGGAACAGCCACAGGTCTCACCAAAATCAGCTCTAAAGTCCTAACGACCAAACTAAAATCGCTGGCACTAAACTAGAAAACAAGTGACCAGGGCTACCAAAACCCTGCATAACACACCGACCAAAACTGCCGGTTGTTGCTAATCCCCCAGTATCTGTAAACAATACAGAACAGAGGGTGAAACGTGAAGAAGGGAAAATAGCAACACCCCAACTCACAAGAGTCTACCACCCAAGGACGGGGACGACAGATTAAACTCACTTATTTTATTATACGGCCCAGTATCGGGAGAAAGCTTGATAGAAGGTAGAGGGGCTGCCTTCGACAAAGAGCAGTGGGATAAATGCCGCACAACCCTTGGAATATGCAACGTCCCAGCTAAAATATGCCACCTCTTCGAAGGCCAAAATGTCTCGAAAGGAAAACCCCCTCTCCCCGTCGAAATATAAAATGTTGCTTCAAGATTGGCTTGCGCTGGCATCTGAACTAGTGACAGGAAGTGAAGCAGTTGGGGGTGTTAACCGCTTCACTTATTTGGGGAGTCTTATCAGTGCTGATGGCCTGGTAACTGACGAAATCTCAGCTCGGATACAGAAGGCTCGATTGGCTTTTGCCAACCTGCGTCACTTATGGCGTAGGCGAGATATCCGTTTGCTGACTAAAGGACGAGTGTACTGCGCAGTAGTTTGTTCTGTCCTACTATACGGATGCGAAATATCGCCGTTAAGAGTAGAGGACATTCGTAGGTTACTAGTCTTCGATCATAGGTGTATCCGAAGCACTGCTCGTGTATCCTGGGACGATCGAGTAAGCAATGCTATCGTTAGGAAACGAGTACTAGGTAAGGATGGCAAATCAATAGATGAAGTATTGAAACTTCATTAGTCGAGGTGGTTGGGACATGAGTTGCGTATGCTCAACCACCGACTGCCTCGTCGAGTTATGTTTTTTGGTGTAGGAGTAGGTTGGAAGAAAGCTAGGAGTGGCCAGGACAAAACATAGCAGAAATGCATGAAGTCACTGACATGTGGATTGATTCATGTTCGTAAGTGTCGACTACCTGGTTGGGGTCCACGAGCTGATAGTAACCGATGGTTAGAAACCTTGAATGATATAGCTCAAAATTGTCTGCAGTAACGCAGGTGCATTCATTCTTTGTGTTCTCTGAAATTCTAACCTTCTGAATTCCTCATCACATTTAGCTTTTTCTTTTTTAGGTTTATTTCACCAGATTATACTTCTTGAATAATATCCTTGAAACCTAATCTCTCCGATTTCCTCTAATACTTCTCCTACTATGGGATTTGAACTGACAATTGAGTCTCTGTGATATTGTGGTACGGTAACTTGAACTGATGTACGTACATACAATGTTCTACGTTGTAACTGACTGATTTTAACTGTTTGGCTCTATTTCCTTAGCTCACTATTGAATTTTGATTTATTCAAAGTATTTGATTTGAAATTTTCCTCTCAAATTGCGCTTCTGATTAACCATGAAAACTTATTCATTATAAATAGGTGCCTGGACGTCTTTACCCGATTGATTTGCACTACATTCCACTTAGTCCAGTTGAAATTGCCAATACCACCGACCGAATTGATCCTGCGCCATATATTCGTCTACTGAGACGAATCGATGTCACATATCCTGCTACTGAACGAGGCGATCTTTTGATCTTTCTATCTGGAATGGCTGATATTCAAGTAAGTTATTGTTTTTCATTTTTCGCTCAATTTCTGGTAACAAACTGATCGAAAGCTGCTATTCATATGATCATCAGTTATATAAAGTAGACATTAGGGAGATAATTAAATCCTGTTATAAACCTTGCTTTTATTCTACCTGTACGATGAATTCAGGATCTCAATGACATGTTATTATCAACTATTCGCTTATTATGAGTCCATTTATGTTTGTCTCAAAACTCTTGTAAAGTTTATTTTATTTGAGGACATGAACTACTCATGAGTAGCTAAAAATGAAATATAAAATAATTAGATTAGGAGGTAAAATCTCTGAACTTTCTGAAAAATCATACTATGATGCATAGTTTTGCGAATAACAACCAGGCTTAATTCCTGTGATACTGAATTCTTACTTTATACTTGCGGTTGTTAATTTGGCCACGTATTACTTTTTTATATTACACTGACTGTAGATATAATTAAATAGAATAACTGTTTAACTCTCCATTTTGATACTTACGAGGCTTTTTCATTCTGAAGTCTAATCTTGCCGTAATATTTTTTTAATTTTTAGAAACTATCTTTAATATAGCGCATTACGCTAGAGATATCTATTTTTTTCTTTGTGGGCAGTTAAAAAGATTCTAGAAACGACAATATGACCCATTAGATCGTATATAAAATAAACGTCTTACATTTTCTGAATCGTGTTGCTTATTCGAGTTTCTTCACTTCCAAGTTGTAACAATATTCTATTTTATCATCACCTTATCAAAAACTTAGTTATAACTTAATCCTATCTATTTTTTGTTTTGAAAGGCAATAATGGAACCAGCTAAAGCGTATGCTGAAGAAACAAAACGATGGATTATTTTACCTTTACACAGTGCATTATCTGCGTCAGATCAAGAAAAGGTTTTTCATGTTGCTCCAGACTGTGTACGTAAATGTATTTTGTCAACAAATATTGCTGAAACCTCTCTGACCATAGATGGAATAAGGTCTGTTTCGTTTACTGAAAATTTCATAGTTATTATAAACTATTCTGTGTCATATCAGTTAAGCAACTACTTCTCAACAGCATTGAAAGCCAGATCGATCTTGAATTGATCGTTTCATTCTGTCAGTCAGATACAAACAATTTTAATTGGATAGCTATTTATTCTTTCATTTATTCGAAATTATTATCGGTTTATTTCGGAATGATTTATTTCCTAGAAAGTTGCTCCTTCAGTGAAAGATCACTCATTTCAATTAATTACTAGATCGAGTTGATAGAAGTTCAGAAGATTAAAATGTTTTCCTCTGAAGTCTCTAGTTATGATCATCCAGCTAGATTTACTGATATTATTGATTATTATATTCTTCATCGATCAGGAGTGTCTTTTGTGTTCTCCAAATGTTACTGGAGATAAGCATAATAAAGTTATAGATTCGAAACTCCACTTTTAATGAGGCGAAGCTGAGGTTCAGTTAATTGATTCATGTGTACATGTTCCCGGGCTGTAAGTTGTCAGATCATTTGATTGTTGATGGGGAATGTCTGTGCACATCTTCCAGAATCTGGAAATAAACTGCGAACTATGGAAAAGCCCGCATAAACAAAATATAAGTGATTATTGTTTAATTTTAGCATAGAGAACGTAATTCTCCATCGAAACTACTCACTTAAACTACACATTTTTAGATTATGTAGTGTTTTCATTATTTTCACTACTAATTCTTTCAATATTACCATAGATTTTAATTTCCCCACATTAGAATAATAGTGTGAATGATTCCTTTTTTTTAATAAACAAACTTCATTCTTAAAGGTTTGTGGCTGATTCTGGTAAAGTTAAAGAACTAAGTTGGGATTCTAAAGCACGAATGCGTTGTTTGAAAGAATTCTCAATATCTAAAGCAAGTGCTAATCAACGTAAAGGTCGTGCAGGTCGTACAGGTCCTGGTGTTTGTTATCGTTTCTACACTCAAGAGGATTATGATAATTTTGAGGTAAATGAATTAAACCGATATTTATTCTGATTTATGTCATTTTCTTTAATGTCACAAAATATCAATATGAGTACTTTTCTGTACAGTCTTTGAAATAGTAGTAGTTGAAGAACCACTGGGTTTCCAATTGTATCTTTATTCTATCTTTTTTGGCCTGGGCAAGTGGTTGGTGACACCAGCCTTCACACCAAAATGTGTGTGACTCAAAATTGAGTACATAAGTCTGAAATCTACTTATACGGTTTTCAGTTTGTAGATTTAACTCCTCATTCCTTTGTTTTTATCACATACAATTAAATTCAGTGCATTGTAATCAGCATAGTTTACGTTGTTAAAATCCCAACTTAAATGCCAGTCGATATATGACACAAATTAATACGATGTTGTCAACAGGACGAACTTTTCCTTGGAATAAATAATATATTTATGCATAAACCTTAACGCAAAAACATACACGATTATGTGTCATTAAACACATAGGCGATTGTTGGATATAAGTTTTGTTATCCGCCGATGCACTAATGACATTAAAACATAGATATCAGTTTTAATTTTTACCCTATTATAGCATGCCGCTTTTAAACAGAGTACTGATGAGAAATCTTGGATATAGATCAATAACTTTATTGATTTCAAATGGAAATATAATTTCTATACTCAGCAACCAAGTGTCAGGATATGTTTAAGTCTCTACAAAAGTTGGGAAGAACCGAAATGTACTCGGCGGATCGGAGCATTCGATAACTTCCAAACACCGGGGCATACATATTCTCCGCCAATCTGATTGAATAAACTCATACACGTTACGGTTTCGGTATCTTTCCAGAAGTGTCCAGGATTCCAGGATCACTGGTAGCCAAGCAAATAACTAACGTTTAGTAAAGCTTCTGTTGCATTACCGCCTTTTTATTTGCTTGAGGTTATTGGATTGGTGATAATCTGTAGGTCAGCTAAGAAGTCAGCACTGTAACCTCTCGATACTGACACTTAAAAATATGGAACAGTTATCACATAAAATTTAAGTCAGTCAATCAAAAATTCCTCACTGTAAATTCAACTGAAGTTCATTGCTGAAAGTTTTTATTCATGTTTCGTGTATTAAAATGCTCTGGTGAAATAATAATTATTATTTCATATCATTTATGTTCTCTATTCGCTTTATTGTTTAGGCATTTAGTACCCCAGAAATTCGTCGTGTCCCTTTAGAAACACTTGTTTTACAAATGATGGTTATGGGTTTACCAGATATTAAAAAATTTCCTTTCATTGATCCTCCTGAAATGAAATGCATAGATGAAGCACTTGATATACTAAAGGTATACTTAGTTTATTAATTCATTTGTTTTGGTTGTTTAAACCTTCCCATTGATGTTTAGGACTGCGATTGATAAGCCTGTTTGGCATATGTGCATCCTGTGCGGATCCCCTCGATATTACCTTTACGTTACAAGCACTATTAGCAGAGGTGAATAGTGGCTAGCAGTGGATTTCGGGACACGCGTTTCGTCCTATTTTGGACTCGTCTTCACTCATATTCAGAAACGAAAGGCTGTCTGGACTCAGTAGCTATGGATAACGCGATCGCTTTTGAATCTTGCGGTACTGAGTCCAAGTTCCGGATTGAACATCAACTCTTTTTTGTTCCTCATCTATTGACTCATATCTTAAAGTATATCAGCTTCAACATACAACTTGGTACCGTACGTACATCATTTCAAGTTGTTGTACCACATTAGCACAGAGAGATGGAGTTACCAGCTTAAATCCCATAGTAATAGATATTACAGCAGTATTAGCGGTAATCGAAGAGATTGGGGATCGAATAGATGATTCGAGAAGTATGGTCCAGTGAGAACTTTAGAAAGCGAATGATAAGGGTGATGAGGAATCCAGAAGGTTAGAATTTCATAGAACACAAAGAGTGGATGCCCCCATGCCATAGCAGACGATTTTGAGCCATGTCATCCAATGTCTCTAACCATCTATGACTTTCGTCTCGTGGACCCCAATCAGATATTCTATACCTACTAACATGACTCAGTCCACTTGTCAGTGATTTCAGGGACTTGTGACATGTTTTGGTTTGGCCGCCCCTAGCTTTCTTCCAACCTACTCCTTCACCGCAAAACATAGTTCGACCAGGCAATCGGTGGTTGGGCATACATAACACATGTCCCAATCACCTAACTGATAAGGTTTCACCTCTTCATCAACTGATTTGCTATCCTTACTTAGTACTCGTTTCCTAACAACTACATTGCATACTCTATTATCACAGGATATATGAGCTATGCTCCGCTCTAAAGCCTACACTTTGGTACGATTCTATTAAGAACTATATAAGGAACCTCTGTGTAAAAAGTTGATTAATTCAGTATTTGAATAAATTAAAGAATATTGAAAACAATTTCGACTACTCTTAGTGTTTGTTTCATGTATTATTTTTTCATTTCAGTCACATGGAGCAATTATTCCACAGAATAACTTGTTAACAGTTACACCACTTGGACAATTATTATCTGATATACCAGTTGAATTTTCATTAGGTCGTATGTTAATTATGGCATCATTATTACGATTAATTGATCCTGTATTAAGTTTAGTTGCTGGTATGGCTATTCAGTGTCCATTATTATCGCATACTGCTTTCAGTGGAGCAGAACTAACACGTCGAATGGATTCATTAGCTGAATATGAAAGTGATCATGGTGATGCATTTACATTGGTCAATGTTTTTGATGAATGGATTAAGGTAGTTTATCTTAATAACACAAGTTATAAAATATTGATTATATTCATTGGGTGATGATTGAATTATTTTATATACATTATTTAAACATATAGTTAAGAATGAAATTGTTAATGAATGTTTAACTAGAGTTTAAGTTGTTGTCGTCTTATTAAAATGCACTAAACAATAATTAGAAACATTCACTAATTCCTGTTTGTGTACTTGTTTGCATGTGTGTGTGTGCGCATGTGAAAAAAGTTGATACTATTTCTTCAATATATATGTATATCTAAAGTGTGTTAAATGCAATGTCGTATAATCTCATATATTGATAGTTTATGAAAATAAAATGTGATGAATAGAATTTTATAAGCTAATTGTTTTATATTCCTTTTCTACTTTTGTATGATCTTTGTTAATTTCACATATTATCTCTTGATAATATGAAACTGTTCAGTAGATAACAATTTATGTATGTATTGTGTACCTTTTAGAATATTTCACAAAGACATCTTAAAATGAAAATAAATGTTTTATAAATTCATATCAATAACTTGCCAAAACACCATTTTTATATTTCATTCAGTCAATTCGATTTTAGAACTAAATTTTTACTAATTTTCCTAGGTGAACTCCTGTTGCACACTATGACATACGATTCAGATACACACATTTCCTACACTTTTATTGGACCAGCTGTGTAAGTGAGAAAACGGAGAAATTACTAAGAAGCTGTAATTTTCAACACCAAATATTTCAAGTACACAGATCGATTGTTATATGCATATTTATCTTTCTGACCTAAATAAAGACATATGGGCTGAGACATTAACTAAGGAGTATGTATGATCAAATTCCTTCAATAGTGTCTCGTGTATAATTTCAAGCTCACCATCTAGTCTTCACACAAAATTTCAACACAAACAGTTAATATGCCTAAACTATTCAAGGCTTTTACTCAACTCAATGTATTTGTCATCCTAATTTCAACCCGCATACTTTTTCATCAAGTTTTTGATTACAATTGTTTTTTTTCTGTGATCATTAGATGAAATCAGAAACGACTGGTGTTATGAAACAAGATTATGAAATAGACGAATTTCATACTAATGATAGTGAAAATGATAACAGAGGTACAAATATTAAACGATGGTGTCGTCGTATTGGAGCACAACAACAACGTCTTCATGAAATGGTTCGATTACGTAGTCAGTTCGCACAATTGTTAAAAGATAGTGGTCTTCTTGATAACAAATCTACAGAATCCGATAAAAATTCATCTAGAAGGCAACACTTTAAAAATTTAAATTATGCAAGACGTAGTGAACGAATGAAATCTAAACGACGTCGACTTCTCACTTTACAAGATAATGTAAGCTCTGTTATTTGTTTACTTAAATTCTTCATCGAGCAGGTGGTTCATTGCTAAGTCATTTCGACACTGAACGATTAGGTTGTAGATTTGAAATACACTCCGTTTATTTTAGGTATTATCATTAGCTTTCGTACTCAAAACATATTTCTCACTTTACATAATTTTATTTAGGTAACCGGTTAGTGTCATTAGCCGTCAAAACGTGTGTCTGAAAGTTGAATACACGATTCTGCTACATAAAAAAAACAATCACTAGTACTCTGTAACTAGTTCTGTTATTCAGTGGAAATGAAAAGACGACGGTTTAAATGGATTAAAATGAACACCTAATATCAGTTAGAATTCATGCAATAAAATTATGGACCAATACTATCAGAATTGCTTATAAAAAATGTTTCAACTCGGTTTAATCTTCAAAAACCCTATTATATATGTACAGGCGTATGAACTAACACATCTCTTCATGATATTTACTGGATTAACTATAGTATTGAAGTCATGTTACATGTTCTAAATAACAAATCGGTTTAACTTACTTGAAAGTTTCAGTTTAAAGAAAAGACAGTTTTGTTAGTGTTATATCATCTTAGCTAGATGGCTTAATTGCAAATATTTATGCGCTATAGAAATTATTGAATTCGTGAGTGGGCTGAGATACTTTCTGGATTCCCAAACCGAAGCAAGTGGTTTCCATAGGAGGCAACACACTAAGCCTTTGACCCGAAAATGTTATTCAAAAGGCAGTAGAGCAACGTTAGGAGATGCAGTCCCATGATAGCCTGTGGCCAACAGTAGATTCATACACCATTCGTTTAATTAGGATCCTGGAGCCCGTATGCATCATTGGTTTGGAATCAGGGTTTTCCGAATCTCTTACCTGGATCCTCCATGCTCACCAACTTAGTTAAGGAGTCCGACACTCGTTTTTCATCCTTTCAATTTCGTAAGTAACATCCCGTCCGCGAGAAGGCAGTGGATACAAACGCATGGCTGCATGAGAGCATTTCGAGAGGGAGAGCGAACTTTCCCTACCCTCGGCCGTACTAGATTATTTGGGGGCGTGCAATAAACAAACTGATGCGGGACTTATAAAATGATCTTAAAAAGCCTAATCCCGTTTTGATTAGACGCCACTCATAATGGAATCTTTAAGCTGGTGAACACATAACTACACAAACTATTTATTGCAGCAGTACAGTATAGGGAGAAGATTACAACAACTGTGACGGTTTTGCGGCTGTTTGTCTAGCAAATATGAAAATGGCTTGTATACGTGAGCAATTTATGTGAAAGAAAACAATATTATAAAATATGAACAGATTTTATGTAATTAGTAAATTTATTCATGTCTTCATGTCTTCTATAAGTTTCTCTGGATATAAATCGAGAAAACAACGAAATACAAACTTTTTCCAACGAATATAAATTGTTCATGCTTTCCAACCCTCAAAAAGACCTAAACAGATTTTTAAGAGTCCTTAAATTGTTCGCATTTGGGGTTAGGACTAGGGGGTTACATTTATGGTTTTCATCACGAACTAACATAAACTACCATATGAAAATACTTTGACTCTATAGATGCACTCCGCTCAAAAGTATTGAAGGCTCCATTTGATTAGTTCGTCCATAAAGTGTACAACCGCTAAGTTTCAGATTTAAGGGTTTTTATGTCATGATTTGGATATAGCTTTGATTTAGTATAGAAAGATAATTTTACTGCTCGTCATCATACATGGTAGCTGAATTTCGCGCGAAAACCTAAAAGTTTCACTCGTTTGTGGTTGGCTTGTTTTTGAAGTATACTTTTGCCACTATTCAACTGGACTAAAAGTCTTCAAATCCGTAGTTTTTGTTTGCCTTAGCTGGTTTTATCGTATTTCATACCAAATAGGGTACTGTTTTACGATTGGTACAATTGTAGTGTTATTAATGATCTATTTTTCAAGGTAATCACAACAACAATAACACAATATCATTTTAACGTGAAACTAATGTGGCACAGATTTTTACTGAATCATCTTATCAAAGTCTGGGCAGCAAATAATATGATATTCTATATTACATAATAAATTGTAATTCCGCTTCATTCATGATATTTCTACATGATAGCTACTATATTGCATTGTTGTCATCAATTTTTATTTTTTTTTCCAACAATACTCATGATATTGTTTGTTTTTTGTTGTTTTCATTTTACAGTTGAGTGATAATTCCGAATCGGAAAAAGAGGAAAATCATCATGCAGAAAGTGATTCATCTAAATTACGTAAATGGTTAACTGCATCAAATCGTTCTTCATCAATTAATTTCGATTCAATCAATGTACCAGTACAAGATTTAGAATTGGTATTATGTTATGATCTGTCGTCATTAGCACAATCAGCTAATATTCAACAAAATATGACACAAGCTGATCTTCAGTTATTAAAAGTTGTCCTAGCTGGTGGTATGTATCCTCAGTTAGCTATTGGTGATGCAGCTAATGCTTATCGTGTGGCTAATCGTGGTGGTACAGCTGGAGCTGGTGCTGAAATGGTATTTCATACTAAGGTGAGTGATTTTTTAATTTTACATATGATGAATATAGTCTGATCTGTGTGACATCTGCATGACATTGTAATTTATATATATATTCTGAAGATAACTATTCAAAGTACTGATAAACTACTTACTTACATCTGTTACTCCTAATGAAACATAGGTCACCGACTAGCATTCTCCGACCTACTCTGTCCTGGGTCTTTCCTTCCAGTTCTTCCCAATCTCTATTCATTCCTTTCATGTTTGTTTCCGATTCACGGCGCAGTGTGCTCATTGGTCTGCCTCTTGCCCTTTGACCTTAGGGTTCTAAGTTAAGACCTGCCTTGTGATGCAGTTGGGTGATTTCCGTGATGCGTGTCCTATCCACCTCCAGCGCTTTTTTCTAATTTCTTCCTCTGCTGGAATCTGGTTTGTTCTACCCCACAGTAGGTTGTTGCTGATGGTGTCTGGTCAGCGGATCCTCAGTATCTTGAATAAAAAACTGTTAATAAACACCTGTATCTCGTGGTTCTCAAAGTTTCCGCTCCATACAATCGAAAAGTTTTGAAGTTCTTATTAAAAATTATGACTTTGGTGTTGGTTGATAGTTGATAGAATATAGTTTCTACGCTATATCAAGACTTTTTGGTTAGTCATCGGATCAGGGTAGCCTACCTGGACTCTGGTTCATTATCTCGTTCTCGTTTATCGACTAAGGTGAACCCGTAATAGTTTCGAGCATACCCAGTGACGACCTTAACAATATCACTATCATTTCTATAAGTGTTATTGTTTGAGTGATAATATTTTTACTTGACACTGTTTATATTCCTAAATTTCAAACTTCAAGATATTGAAAATGTTCACATTATTTGAAATGTTAATCTATGCATTCTTTTTCACGAAATGTCATATTTTATAGTTCGTGTATTATTTAAGCTGATTGTTACAAACATGAAACACTTAATTGTCTATCTTGATAATATTATCAGTAGTAGTGGTTTATTATAATTAATCTCGGTCAACATAACAATTTATTATTTAATTGTGAATAAGTTCTAATAACTTCAGATTGAAGTGTATGACTGATGATGTTTGTTATCTGGAAAGATAATAAAAGCTTTAAAAATTAAACTATCCCACTGTGAGAATATATTATCACCTTCGAAAATACTCAATACTATACAATGAATATACTGTGTCATTTATTTAACTATTTCTTTCTATTCTATTTTTAGAATAAAGGTTTTGTTACACTTCATCCAAATGATATATTTGTTAGAAAACCAGATGTATTATTTCCTGAGCGTACTTCAAAAAAATGGAATAATAACAATAATAATCCAAAAAAATCACAAACATCATTATCGAATAAGAATTTGAAACGACCAAAGCATGACGATGATTTTGATAGTGAACAAGAAGCTGAGGAAAATATTCCAGATGTCTTGCCATCGGGTTTTGCATATGATCATCAATTACTTATGTATTTGTAAGTTATTAGTTGTTGTTTTTCTTTTCTCTTATAATAAATAATTAAAGATTAAAATGTGATGATAACCATCACTAGCATTAATAATTCACCACAATCTCAAAATAACCATGTGTTAGGAATGTTAGATCCTTAGAACTCGCTTGATGAATGACTTATCTTGGATTTCACGTTTGCGACCATGGGTTGATCAATTGACCTTGAGATTTCATTCCCCACCAGGAAAATCCTTGGCTGTGATTGGCTGCTGTGTATTTTAGTGTGTTATTTTTGGTGACTGTCCCAAGGATGTTTCTATGATGTATAAATAAACGACGGTTGTGTGCTTGATTGTATTGTGCTTGCTGGGTGTTTGTAGACTATACTTTCTACGCTTATCAGGACTTCTCTTTTGCAGTTTCGGGATCAAAGTAGCCTACCTGGACGCTGGTGATTGTCTCGTTCGCGTTTATCGACTAAGGTGAACTCGTATTAGCTTCAAGCGTACCTAGTGACGAACTTAACACCATGATCAATTATCAACATGTTATACTGAAATATCTTTGGTTTTTTCAAACTGAATTCTATATAGAACTCAGTTCCATTGTAACAGTTTTTCCTTAGTCATACTACGAATAGTCATATCGGTATCAGTATTTTGAATAAGTCATTGTATGAAATGAAGTTGCAAACAAATCAATCACGAACAGTGTAAAAGTTCCGTCGACAAATTGACTTCCACCAGACAACAATTAAAAGTCTTAATTTAGATCTGCGATTAGACAAGGGACCTACTGTAAAACCTTCAGGATTTGTGGTAAACGATAACTTTGGATCACTTCGCTCATATTCAAATGGTTCATATTTCCAGCCTTATTCTATTCCACAGTTTATATCCGTTATTAAAATAAATCTGTTTCATCTTATTTTAGACTTTACATTCATAGCTGCTTATGAGATAAGTCCAAAAAAAATATTCAGGTTTCTGGTTAAAGTAATATCAGCACTTTTGTTTATTTCATTACGTTTGGTAACTTGTAAAAGAATATTGTATACCATTTAGGAATTCTACAATATTCATTCATGTGTCAATTATAGGGATTCAAATAAAGTGAGAAGAACAATATTTGCAGAATAAAATACATTCATTATATTTCACAGCTCCTCATCAGCTGCTATCGGTCTAGATTTACATTAATGATTATATAATAAAAATATTTTTTATTACATACTATAATCAATGAAGTTTAGTTCGAAACACCATATTTAAGTGTCATTATAGGATTGTGGTCATTGTTGAACTTCATTGGAATCATGAATCTAATAATATTAGACCGCCATTAGAAACTTGGAAGCATTGGACGGCTATTTCATCCTAATATTGAACTCATTAGTAGTGCACATCCATGATGATATGCTTGAAACTATTGCGAGTTTACCTTACTCGGTAAACGGAACGAAAATAAATGATTCAGTGACACGATAGGCTATTCTAATCCGTTTTCTCCGGGCAGAAGAAGTCTTGATACGGCGTAGAAAGTGTATTCTACAAGCACCCAGAAAATATGAGGTTCACAAGCACACAAATCGAGTTTATTTATACATGATAGAAAAGTCCTTGGGAGAGCCACAAAAATAGTGTACTAAAATAATACATCAACCAATAACAGTCAAGGATTTTCCGAGTGGGAAATATAATCTGAAGGTCAACTGATCAGCCCATGCGTGAAAACACAAAAACCCAAAATTAGGACCATTTCAAGTGAGTTCTGGGGATCTAACGTCCCCAACACATGACCTCGCGAGCAGGAATCGAACCCAGGATATTCGGTCTGGCGCGTGAACGCTTAACATTGTTGGATTCCGTCTCAGTAGTCAGGAAATTAAGCATTCGCGCACGAGACCGACGCTCATGGGTTCAGTTTACGCTCACGTGGTCGTGGATGAGTACTACTGATGAGTCCCGTACTAAGACAAAACGGCCATCCAATGCTTCCTGGTTTCCAATAGTGGTCTAACACTGATCGATTCGCGATGATAGTTAGTTAGCACTGAAATCATAAAAGGACAAGGTGGTGAAGTTGTAAACGATTATAAAAAAGCGATGAATTAAAACAAATTGATACCAAGTGAGTTATAATCAATGCATCTATGTAACGCTTTTGAGGCATCTACATTGTATCCACCATGCATCAAATGTTTATTGATCACACTTGTGGAAACTTTAATTTCTTTTTGACACAAATTACGTGCAATATGTTCCGAAAATATTGCAGTCGTTCGCAGCTAATAAGAAAGCCCTGAAATATAATGAATTCATTTTCTTCTGCAAATATTGTTATTCTTGCTTTATTTTAAATAAATAACAGATCAGGTTATATGAAATAGAGGAATTCAATTTCGACTTGATCACGTGACTGGATATTCTAAAACTTAACAACAGCGCTGCTATGACTACTAGTTTTAACGTCGGCAAAACTACCAAAACTAAACCAATCTAGTTAGATGCAAGGAAAAAGATAATATTTTACTTGGATTAATATTTATTCAAAAATAAATCAAAACTATCATCTACATATTCTGAGTTATATATAATTTACTTTATCTTATCAGTAGTGGTTACATTTGAATACACTGAACTGGCCAGTAGTTGGTTGATACAAATTAATCAATGACTATAAATACATGTATACAACTGATTTAATTAACAATTGTAACTAAATTATTATTGGGTTATTTATTGATTCATTTTTCATGCCTAAACACAATGAATGCTAGTTTCAAAATGAGGGCACCAGTTTATTTGATTTGAGAAATGTCTTTCTTGTGTGTAAACTCTAGTCGTGTTTTTTTAGAAAAACTGACACGTTCAACAACTTAACTGTAAATAATCATATTGTTTTTTTTCTCGGTTTCCTTCTTTGATCTATTTTAAACGTCTGGTTCTTATTTTCTCAACCGAATCTATTTATCAATAGAGTATTTATGCTTTCATTGAATTTTAAGACTCTAATCCCTTTAATTAGGCTTAGTTTGTTGTAAAACAATCAGTTTCATATATTCTTTAAGTTTTTGTAGGTATTTGTCGAAAGTTTTTTCGCTAAACGGTTTACAGAAATGTACTTACTAAAAAAATTTTCATTCATATTAACACCTAGCCTGTTCTCTGTTATCTTTGCCTCTATACTGATTCTGATAAGCTCAATCTTGTAAAAGAATGTTTAAACGGTTTTACATTATGTTTTTTTTGCATGACATACTGTATTTAGAATATCGATATTAAATTGTTGTTTTTACAACACTGATACTTGTTTAGATCTTTTTGAATATGATTAAAACCTTGAAATATTCCAAAATTCAAATGGAATCTGGCGGACAGTAAGTATTCCACTGATCATCAAAGATTTTACTTATCTATATCAATCTACTGAATTTTAGTTAGTACTATAATTGTATTTCGCTAGATTTCAAACGCTTAAGTGTTTGATATCAGTCAGAGAGAGTAGTCAACACTTTTGAACGCTTTATCGCGTCGATAAATAACAGTGTATTCAGGGTTATGTAATCCATTATTAGGTTTCATAATTTATTCTAGTTTATCGTCATATTGTCTGTAGTAAAAATTTGACTATTTGAATAAATGATACTTATCTGTGTGATGTATCAATTATTCTACTTAAAATGTACTTTTCATTGTTAATTGTCTTTATAAGTGGATGCCTTTTATCTAACTGCTATATTATATGTATCATAGGAAATCGGCAAACATTATTTATCGAAACTGAAGATTATGTATGTGTACCAGATCCAAGTATTCACTTTTATTGCTGTGTTATTCCTTTATGTGTAAAGGTTAGGCAGTTGTTTCTAAATGAAATTCACGAATCAATATTTGGTTATAGATTTTCTAAAAGAAACATTTATCTAACAGTTGAGGTTGCTTTGAACTTAAAAAATAAAAATTCTATTTTCACAGATAAAGGTAGCTAGTCTAACCGGTACTTTAATTGACATTCTTGCTATGAATAATAGTATACCGAAATAGTAGTTTAACTTCTCACGTAATCTTGTTTATTTTGTGTGTTCGAGATTGTAATTTTATCTTATCCAGTATTTGAGTTCGACATAGTTATTGTTTATAGGAATTCTTTGTACAATCTATATAAAGATAAATCATGTTTGTTTGACTGTATTACTTATAAATTCTATATGAACTATATCTCAACTCTAATTGAATGAAAACATTATTTTCAGAATAAAAATACCAAATGTACTCATTTTTCAGAAGTAATTATCTAGACAATATTGATCGAGAGATATTTTTCTATTTACAGTCTGTTGAAGTGAACGCTGCATAGATTAGTTTGTGAAACATTAAAATTTTGTTTTCTGTAATATTTTTTCTTCGAAGATTGAGAATACTCTATGCGTTGGCAAACTAAACAAAACAGACACGTTTACTTCACTTATCATACTTTCCAGATCTATAGATGTTTTTCAAGGTTATTATTAGACTACTGAGTTATAATAGTAATGGACTGTTACACGAATTGAATATAGAACAATCCGTTATTGTAGTAACTGACTTACATACACACACACACACACTCTATCTGAACATTAGTATTTGTCAAGCCAATACAATTGAATCCTTTACTGAACCTTCTTCATGTTTTAAAATCGATCGATTCTTATAGTTTTGGAAGCTTTTAGTCCAGAAAAAACGTTAGGGCGGAGTCAACAAATGAATGTCGAGTCTCTCTCTGCCTACCTCTCTGCTTTTCTTTACTTATATTAAATTCGTTGTCCTGATAGTTTTCATTTAAAATAGAAAAAAAGACACATGTTTCAGTCTGTCTATCTATCCAACTAATTCTTTATTATCGATAGTTCATGTGTCTTTCTAAATTTTATGTATATCAATAATTGTGTGTATGTGTATGTGTGCTAAAAAAAAAAACACAGCGAAAGTCTGTGGTTGAATTTTGTTGACCTGCTTGCTAATATTCATTCAAATGGTA